GTGTGGTGAGTGTGGTGTGGTGTGGTGTGGTGTGTGTGGTGTGGTGTGGTGTAGTGTGGTGTGGTGTGGTGTGTGTGTATGTTCGTCAGAAATTGTTCTTGGTTGTTTGAAGGGGAAGTCATTCGAAGTCATCACCGCTAGCAAATTTTAGCAAAGTATAGAGCTCGCTTTACAAAAGACCCAGTTGGTGCGTTCACAGCCGGTGGACCAGGTGAAGTTCTACCTGCATAGTTCTACCTGCATAAGACACTTAGCGCATGCTACAAAGGGGAAATCGGTGGCTGCTGAGAGACTGAGTCGGGTGAAATGTCGAAAGATAAAACGTTTGGCTTTGTCAGCCAATTAAGCGCTGTGCTGCAACTGATTTCTTTCGGTATTGAAGAAATAGTTGGAATGTGAATCTATGAAATGAATGTATTGTGAGGGTCTGCTGGTGTTTCAATTTATACTCACTATCCCAACAAAACTTCAAGTTTTCATTCGCTGTCCTATTTGCATTACTTACCCGATCTTAGGAGATGGAAAAATTGATTGAGATGAGTATGTTTTTCTACATGGGTTGTATAAAAGTGAGCAGCGCATACTGTAGGTGAGCCTTCTTCATCAACTCATTCTTACTTATTTCATTGCTTGCATATGCCCTGGTTATTCTTTCCTTTGTTTGTGATGTTCATTCCTTATGCCTGACGTAGAATACCACATCATATCCATTCTGTTTCTCCCTTGACATATGTGCTCATTCAAGTATTGCAGCTGGCGACGGAGCGCCGTCATCGTCTACCGATTCCGACGACTCGGATGCTGAAGATTTACCAGTGAAGCTTGGCTCTAGCCACATTTATTTTGTACATAACGACGAAGTATTTTCAATGTATCGGTGAGTTTTTGAGAGCTCGCAATTCCACGGTTATTCTCCATTGTTTGCACTTTTTTTGCGGTCGTTAAAGATGTGGCCAGTCTTCTCTCATTTTTACCTGTAGACTTAGTTTTAATGGGCCTGTTGTAGGCCAACTCTTTGTCGTGGCCCTTCCTCTTTTAAACAAATGTCCTCTTCTGTAAGCAGCCATATTCTGATACATGTTTCCACTTGGACTCTTTGATGACTATGTCTGCACTTTTATCTTGATAATTGTGTGGAGCAGGCAGGAACTTATCAGGCTCACCGAACGCATAATTTGGGATTAGTCAGTATTAGTCAGTATTTTATTCCTTACAGCTGCCTTCTTCATCACGGAGAGTCCACCGTTTCGCCAGCAGTTTTCGCTAGAACATTGGATTGTGCTATATTTCTTTTAGCTGGTGGTCACTTTGCCGCCGGAATATTCAGAAAGTGAGTTCCTGGAATTAAATTCTCATCTGTCGATTCTTTTCAATGCTGAGCAGCTTTATTTTATGATAGCAACTATTCGATTGTGTTGTACTTTATTGTTTTCGATGATTACTTCTATCCTCTAATTAGAAGAGGGACTAAAAATAGGAGCAAACTTTTGGTTAATGACGTGCGTTTCAGTGGCAAACTTGTAGCCCACAAAGCGTTTCATCGATATGTTGTTCGAGCCAAACAAGGTGGAGCGCAAGGCGCCAAAGACAAAGAGAAAGGAACTATTCACTCTGCCGGTGCTACTCTTCGCAGGTAAAGATTCTCGGGTTTCGCGAGATCTGGAGCCGGAAAAGGTTTTAAGGAGTATCCTTCTCACCAAAACCTTTCGTTCAATGTGGCTCCGAATATGTGATGAAAGCTTTCCTCGAATGGAGGGTTCCTTTAGTCCTTATTTGTCCCTTCATTAATCCTACTTACAAGCGTGAACTATTTAACAAAGCTGAAAACGTGTTTCCACTAAGAGGTGTTTCGGAATGCGATCCTCGATGCTGCATTCCACGAATAAAAGCAGTTAGGAGTCAAGAGTTTCGATAATTTTGCCTGTTCCTATTGTTTCTTATCGGTTCGGTGTCAAATTCTTCTGAATAGCCCATGAGTAATACATGTGTAACTAATCTTAACATATCCTTTACATTCGCCGTCCTATACGAAGTAAAATCTAAGAAATGTTTGGTGGATTTCTACCATCATTTTTGGAATTCGATTTCCCTCTAGGAATACCTTGATCGTATTCCTACTGGAATACTCGAAGAGAGGTGAATCTAGTTTAGGCCGGACGAAGAGTCTAACTGCAAGGCCGTGCACCGAAATGTGGCAACGAAGTATTTTTGAAGACTTCTTGAATCCTTTCTAAGCTTTGACCTGTTCTGAGATAGATTTTCGGAGCTTCATATGTCTTGCTAACATTCAAATCCATAAGGCTCCGGAACATCACAGACAGAAGCTTGTTGTGCAACAGTAGCACGAAGATGTGTGTGCATTCCAGATACAATGAACGTGCACTGGCTGAAGATATTGTAAAAGTGTTAGGAACCTGGTCGGAGTTTCTCGCAGCCACACCATTGATATTTATTCGATGTGCCAGTTACCAACGTGTGATATTTCATGATATTGACGAGAATGGATTTGATAGGAGGGACCCAAGACTGAGGTATGGATGCTGAAATTTCACTTTATTGGTGTAATTTTTATACATCAACCCACTTGGCTAATGACTCTTACAATTTCCATTTTCTTCGTCAGGTTTTCGTTTTCAGAACCATTCCGTTCGAAACAAAGCGTCCACTTTTGGACGAAGTTCGAAGGACTTGGGAACGATTAGGATCGGTCGTATGCCATGGACCTATGAAAGACTTCCTCGCTGAAAGATCAAAGCGAAAGCAGAGGGTAAAGACTTTGTTGAAGAAGAAGCGAGTTGGAACGCAATGGATACCAGGATCTGATGAAAAGGAAACGACGCCCTCTAAAGAGCGAAAAGTGAGAATATTAACGCTGAATACGAGTTATCACGTAATTATTCATCGGTTCATTGGTTAACGAGATTAACACACATATTAAACAGAGTTTCAGAAGGATCATTTGAAAACAGTGGCACCTGTAGAAGAACAACAACCTGTAGATGATCGATGGTCAGCACTGAATAGAGATACCCGGAGAGAACTCTACTCCATGGTTAAAGAGAACAAAGAAGAAGAGCTCAAAGCATTGATATCTGAACGTGGTGCAGAGGAGCAAAAAGAGGTGATCATCGTGCTGAGTGTCTTTCATCAGACACAAATATTTTTGGGCTTTCTTTTTTCAAAATTACCTGCGGGATTTGCAGATTTTCAACTATCTGAATACGAATCGCTTTTCATCGGACAACGGAACGTTTCTTCATCTGGCTGCTCGCAGTGGAGCTGATAGGACACTGCGGGTGAGTTTATTCAGGAATTTAGACAATTCTTTTTTTCCTGTTTCTCCTTTTTGCGTACAAAAAACTGCTTTACCAAAATCACGATTGAAACTCGTGATGGTATCTCGCCACCGTTGACCGAAAAAGCACGTTAGAAAATGAACCAAAGTGGCAGGCTTGGAGTCGGGGGTACTAGTTTAGAAAGTACTAGTCTATCATTTCTTGGAATCGTCCTGAATCAAGTTTCGTTTGACTTTGGTGGTTGTTTCAAATGAGCCGCTATGTTGAGCAGTCCAAGAGTTTACAGTTTCATTCGGCTTGCATTTCGGCTTCGATGAAAAGCTACCAAAGACAAGCTTCACACTCACCACCGAGAATCTATGGCTTGTGCGAGAAGAACGGGCTGGTAGCTGTGTAGGTCTGAGACCTTCGTCTTTTGGCAGCGTGCAGAAATGAGGTTGAAGGGTAGCGATACCAGGGTGCCGTTCCGGATTCAGTCCATGCTTCCTCAAGCTGCAGCACTTCACGCAGCAAACCTGCATTCAGCGGTAGGGAACAACGAGAAATGAGAGAACGCAGAGAACTAGCGCCTTCAGCTATGGTTAGGCGTGTGGTCGGCGGAGTTTGAAGACAAGTGCAGGTATCACTACCTTCTAGTCTCGCTCCAGTGAGCTATTAGCTGAAACAGTGGCACGCTGCTGCAGCTGCTCACCTCGCGCATAGCAAGGACGGTTACGAAGATAACAATTTTGAACCCCTTGCTTTCTCAACTGCATTATGGAGAAGTGCCATTTCCTGCACTAAGACAT